CACACTGCGCCTAATTACCTAGCCAAGTAACTCAGCACAAATGTATGAGGAATAGACTTATATGAAAGAAAAGCGGAGAACAATGTTTTCGTTGCCAAAAGCTGGTTTCAGTCCCTCTTGGAACTCACACCAGGGTTGTGTCGATGCAAGCCCACAACATCGAGTGTGAATCTCGAGAGGAGGACTGGTATGAACTCGCTTACCTGCGGTATTATCCTTTCCCATGGGCAAGACAGCACAGATTCGCTGTAAGTAATAGCAGAATAGCAACGGCACAAAATAGGACACGTACCGGTACAGAATGGAACAGAAGCTACTAGGAATAACACAGCAGAATAAAGTAATGTGTCTCAAAGGCCGATTGGAAGACGGCCAGGCCGTCGCAACGTCAGTGCGCGCACATAAGTCCATTCAAATTTCCGCGCGCGGGAAGATATTTCAAACTGAAGTACCTTGCGGGGAATAGCTGGGATCATACACCGAGATGCTCGCCTCTTTGAAAAAATTTCCCGCGCGCGCACGTTCAAATATACGTAGCACTGGAGCGAGCATTCAACTAGCTAGAGTGATTGGAGACACTGCAATTTCGTGCCTTTTCCCATATTTTGAGTTTGCTCTCCGCACTGGTACCACCGCAGGCAAGAGTATAGATATTCTAGCAGGAGAGCAGGAATGATAACTAGGGGATGCGGTCGTTCGCACGAGAGTACTGGTAGGAAGCGTCTTTGGATAGCAAGGTAATGAATTGGAAGCATGGGAGTTTAGACACCACCACAAATGTACCTCTTCTTGATCCCACAAGAATCGATCATCGTTTTTCCTATCTCTTGTAGCATTGAATTGGTATTTTGCAAGACATTTTGAAGAAAATGATAAAATGTCAGTATGTTGACGCTAATCTTCGTTAAGTCCACACCGGAGGCAACTCAGAGCGATTTATCGGGGATTTTTTCACTGCAACTGCTTGGATTTTGTGCTTCCATCCAGTAAGTCGTGAGAGCAAAGCCCATCACCCTTTCAAATACAGTCGATATCTCGAAGTCTGATTGGGCGTGTCACCGGAAATGACG